GTCTTTCCCAGAAATGATCTTGCGTATTTCTCAAATACGTAGCTTAAAAAGAGATTTTTCTTTTATATTGAACTTAACTTAAAATAACAAAACCATTTATCAGAAGATTAAAAGATTTTGATGAACAAGTACTTTAAAATCCACTAATCTTTAAAATAAAGTTATAGCCAACAAGCCAACAATGTTAGTTACCTTTATAATTTATATTAATTTGTGGTGCGCAAAATGGGGTAGTCTAACCTTAAAAGATTTTAAGAACAGTTTGTTTAAAATTAAATTTGAACCTCAAGAATCATGATTTTTATCAGTTATGAAAAAAATTGTAAATCTTGTTGTCGAATTATAATTTTGAAATTTGTTTTACAGCACGTTTATTTGACTTGTATGAATGTAAATAATTTACTGAATTAAAATCAAGTGAATTTGACAAAATCTTGTATATTTAAACAGTAAATACCTGTACGGAGTTGGTCCAAAACGGCTGGTAAGTTTCAAGCAAATGTCAAAAAGCCTATATTCGAACAGACGTTTGAGATACAAATGCTGCCAGAATTTTCATCAAATGGTGGAAATGGGCTATAACCACAGTGAGAATTTGCTATTTTAAATTCAGAAAAGTAGTGTTAGTATCACCACTAACGGTATTTACAGAAAAAAAACGTAGTTACTACATAAATGGCATCACCACTAGAAGGAAGGATAGACTAAGAAAAAATAAATAATTTAATTATTTTACATGAGGTAGACCTACTTGGAGGAATAAAATGGCTATTTGACAATGTTCAACACAGTAGTTCAATTTTTTCACACGGAGTTTAAACAATGATTACTTTCCAACAAACATCTCAAAATGCTGAAAACTAGAGGTGGATTTCGTAATTGTAATATTTGTGATCTAAATCCTGAACTTATAGTCTTTGCGTGAAATTTTATCTGGTTTGCTCAAATGGTTTTTGCTGTTAGACTAACAGATAATTAATTTGCATACAATACTACTTGTAGTAATCGACTATAGTATAATTCAACTTTCACCCAACCTATTTTAAATCCACCCGTAAGTGCACGTCAAGTAAAATTGAAAGACCATTTTCCAAATTTGACTTCTTTGAACCGCAATAGAAACCCAATTACGTTTGTGGTTGAATTTTATCGACGATGGAAAATATAGAGGCTTAGCTGTGAAAGCAAAAAGCGGGAGTTTGATTCAATTGTCTCGACTCGACTCACTGCTCGCATTTAAATATCGATAACAGAATTTATCGTGGCTTTGTTAAAAAGCTTGATGAAATTATACCTTGTAACTGCACCTTTGTGGTGGTCGTGGCTTTGTACATTTTATTGATGAAATTGTATTGGAGTTAGAATTCTACTACACTTGAGGGGTAAGGTTGCATTTATTGTGTTGTGTTTATTAAATTATAATTATATATTTTCATTCTTAGTTTCTTTAAATTTAAAATGAGATTTTCAGCGAAGGTCATAGAGTAAATAATATATTTCATTCCTAGGGACTTCGAATCGACTTCGTTTGACATGGTTTGCCCCGCACTTTGTTTCCTACCCAAACGTATGAGTACGTTAATTGGTGGCTGGAAGTTAGTTTTGCTATCCATGCCAGCTGTCATCGTTATTTGGGGACCGAACAGGTTTTTAGCAAAATCAGCTGCCCGCTTACTTTCTTAAAACATGAATGCATATTAAATACACAATAAGTATCCATAGCATTGCAATAGAATTGTTTTATTGTCACCGTTGCCTAGCAACTATTTATTATTTTTGCTGATTCCTCATATATTTGTTCACATCACCTTAAAGTTGTAGTTGTGTTGACTATCAGTGTGCATTATTATTGTGGTGAATAGTGGTAATAGGGCATAGTGTGGTGAAAAATAGCATTCATACCACGGACCGAAATAGTTTTGCACAATCTCGACTTTGTCTCGAACTTAAACACTATCTCGAGTCGGCAAAACCTCATTTTCGGCCCTAGGTACGAATTAATGTACTATTATTTTTTGTAGTAAAGAAATTCTGTACAGCTGATTTTCGGCCCTAGGGATGTACAAACTTGCTCGGTCCCCAAATGGCGATGACAGATGGCATAGACAGCAAACGTTGCTTTCAGCCTAAAATTAATTAACGTTTGTAAAACGGCTAAAACATCATAGTGAGGTGAAAAGATACTTTACGTCTGTATGTTGAGCTTCATTTTCGTTAAACTGCACCATTCTAAGTAGTTTTTTACATAATAATACTTGCGACATATATTTGCAGTGTGTCAACAAGGTTTAACTTTCGTCTATTTATCAATTTCCACAAATTCTGTTAGTGATGGACGCCATCAAAAGTTACAACTATTTAATTTGCCCTTGAGAGTAAGTAGGCCTACTGCATACAATGTTACGACCGTATGTAAAAACTAAATAGATTAAAACATATCAGTTTTTATACACGGATCATCTGTGTGTGACACCACATATAAATATAAACGTATCATATAATAAAAACACTTTAAAAATTCATTTCTCCTTCATACCAGCATTTTACAACAACATAAACTAAGTTAGACATCAGACTTACCCAGCCTCATCGTTGACCATGCTGCTCACAGACTAACGGACAGTAAGACTTCATATTTTGACACTTCACTGCGAATAGAAGTCCTCTACTCACTTTCTATTGACACCCCAGTTGTAGAGTGTTCTAACTTGCCCTACATTTCTCCCAAAGCTACTTGACCGGGTTTAAATATAGGGTGAGGGAGTCAATACCTTGAGGTGTTGTTGTTGTCGTTTGATTATTGAAGGCTAGTGCTGTGATTTTTACATATGATTAGGAGAAAGTATTGTTTTCGTAAAAATTGTCGAGTTTATATTTTGGGTCCCCCGAAAAAGTGGGGTTCGATGTTGTGTGTGTGTTTGTCTATGTGTGGGGTGGATGTGAGAGCTACAAACCTCACCTGTGGTCCGATTTTGATGAAATTTGGTATGTTTGAAATTTGAATTTTTAATGGTGTTTTTCTCATAAACCTATAAAATAAATTAAACAAAAAACTTATAAAACGGACCGAAAGATATTAATTAAAATTTCGTATGAAAATAGCAAACTGCCCTTTGCTGTAAAAATAACGTATGAAAAGTTAATTGTGACTTTGGTGATTTTCCAATGAAAAATCATAGTAAAAAAATCATTACGGTGAGACCAGTGACTTGATTGTTTGACTTGAAAAAAGATTGATTTGTTTCCAAAACATTTATTTTACTTAACTTATCAACATTTAGATGAACTGAAATTATTTTTCTCACTGTAACAAACTATTCTGAATTTATTAACATATCATATATCATATGGTCAGATTAGTATTAATATTTACCAATTAGGTTTATGTTTGAGGTTTTTGGGTAGGAATGAGATGGGAAGTGACCAGATAATCTTTAGATTTACTACTGTTCACTTTAGGGAAAGAAAACTGAAGAGATTTTAGGCCCTACCCACTCTCACACGTTGGATTATTTAAAACATAAAATCGAAAATACTACTTTGAACATACTTTAGATTTAAGCTATATACATTAGGGAACAGTTCTAGACACATTGCTTGCTTTAAGTCATGATTGGAAAATAAGAAGAGAAAGAGGACATACGTCTCCAGATAAAGTAGCTTTAAAAGTCTTCCACTTGATGGCAGCTCTAATCAACATACTGAAAACACAAAATAGTTGACTAATTTTCAACTAGAGTTCAGGAAGTATACGTTTAAGAAGGCTAATTTTAAAAACTTAAAATTTTATATTAGTTTTAAGTATAGGCATTATCAAATTTATATTTTGTTTATTGTATAACATTTCAATTTTTTTCTTTTTCTAAATAACCCTGGTAAGTTTGGCTACAATATCAGCCGTTATTGCGTGAATCAATTACAAAGTTTGTTCAAGGCCCAATTTCAAAGAGATTCGCTCGCTCAGCTCAATTAAGTCCCACTTAATCAGTTCTATAGTGCATGATATTTACATTTACTATTTACGCAGTCGTTGATTATAGAAACCAAGAAAAATAACAAACAAAAGCAGTTGCAAATTTAGCACCGATTTTATAAAAACAACTAACAGCGCACAACTTAGTTTTTATTAAAACTGTGTTCTTTTGGGGTTGATTCAAGCAGTATGCGAAAAAAACATTACTACAATTTTTTTTAAACTTAAAGATGCTATGGTAAATTTTTTAAAATGCACACGAGTGTTTAGAGTAAGTAGTTTTCATCAGAGTAAAACTAGTCTCACGTCAAACATGGATAAATTAATGAGTTATTGATGAGTTACACTGACAGACAATTTATCACTAACGTACTTTGACATCAAAACTCGACACATCCAGAGATCGTATTGCCTTTAGTTAGTGTTGTGAGTTTTCCTTGCCATGAAACTATTTACTGTAGTTTTTGGATCATTTACTGTGAGTCTTGTTATATAACTAGATTTGTTGTATATAGGGTGCTTTTTCACAATTTCTAGCTTTTAACAAAAACCATTTAAATGTTATTGATTTTAGTGGATTTCTCTGTAGGAAAGTAGCTATTACCGTAGGTGGCCCTCGTAAACAAATATTTTGATGATGTCAAACTGACGACTGTCATTGTAAAGCTATTTACTTTGGTGTAGAGATGAATCCTTTCATTACTTCAATACTTTACTACAATACTTAACTTTAATACTTTTTTCTGAAATGGTGACCATACGAAAGTAGGTATTTTAAGCCAAGCATGGATGGAGATATGAGAGTAGTTTATAATAACCAAGCCAATTACTGCGGCCTCAAAACCCAATCGGGGATGGGGGCTCATAAAATATAACAGAAGTGTACTTTATTACAGGCTTCATAACAGGCTTTCTAAGTACGCCAGAATGTATGTACGTGATAAAATTGTTTACCAATTGTTACAGTTTACAATTATTTTCATGATTTCCACAATTGATGTTTAGTCTGAAATTTGCTTTGTTGCAGATTCTACACAACTTAACACCTGTAATCACTGGGAGTGTTGAAGGCCATGGTAAAACCAATATGATATTATTTAACAGGTTATTTTAAAATTTAGTTAGCTAATGGAACTTTTTTCTCTTTCAATTGATCGTTGTTAATCATCAGCCTAGACAGAGTTAGGTTTCGAGGAAAGTTGGACTTGATATTTCAGATAAGGAGAGTCAAATGTTATGCAGTGAATCATCCCACTTTATTGCAGAAATAGAACTCGTATATCTGTTCTACAGTTTTCAAAATCTATTTAATTCTCTTTTCCTTAGATTCACTTGAATTGGTTCTAAAAGATCTTCATTGACATGTAGCAAGCCAATTAACGCCCATTTAATTGTTTAGTGCTTTTTTTGTACATCCTAATACTGTAAATTATTATTTATTTAAAACTTATTAACAATCGTGCAGAAACTATCGTGCAGTGTAATGTGCAATCAGGCTAGCTGTCATAAGTTTTGCAAAAGTGTTTTAGTATACAGGGTGATCAAGGAGGCCACCATTGGGATATCGGAAACGGTAAGAATTAGAGAAAACTTTATATGGGGGACATTCCTTTATTTTTTGTGACAGTTAAAAAATATGATTTTATTTTTTCGAAATTCAGTCGCCATTTTCCAAAATGGCGGCCAACTTTGAAATTTCTTGAGGAACACCCTATATTTTATCATGATTTCGGATAGAACATGCAATTTAAAAACTTTGTTATTCTTGAAATTTTTTCGATAAACCCACTCGTTTAGGAGTTATAGCCTATTTAAAAATGACTTCCGGTGTACATTTTACATCATGTAGCTCCTAAACAAGTATGTTTATAGTGAAAATGCGACGAGTAAATAAGTCAAATAAGTCTTAAAATTGCATCCACATTCCATAAAGACCATAAAATACACAGTTTTCCACTTTTCAAGTTTGCCACCATTTTGGAAAATGGCCGCCATTTTTGAAATAATATAATTAATATTTTTAGCGAACTTTATAGTCTTTTTGGAATGTGGATGCAATTTTAAGACTTATTTGACTTATTTACTCTTCGCATTTTCGCTATAAACCTCTTGTTTAGGTGCTACATGATGTAAAATGTACACCGGAAGTCATTTTAAATAGGTTGTAACTCCTAAACGAGTAGGTTTATCGAAAAAATGTCAAAAATAAAAAAGTTTTTAAAGTTTTTAACTAAAATCATATTTTTAATTGCCACAAAAAATAAAGGAATGTCCCCCATTTAAAGTTTTCTCTAATTCTTACCGTTTCCGATATCCCAATGGTGGCCTCCTTGAGTTATCACCCTGTATAAGACGAGAACTCACCCCGTGGTCGGAAACTTGACCAAAAGTATGTAATGCGCAAACTTCACAATTTTCACCCCATGCTGTAAATAAAACACGTGATTCGAATTTCTTCAATTTGTTTCGATTTTCTGTTTATATTTTGTTGTTATTTCGTCACCAACCTGGCAACCCATAAGGCCCATGGTAGTTTTTTTTTGAATCTTAAATTCATTTTTTGTGTTTATTCTTTGCCTATTTTAGTTTATAAGAGGATTCTGTACTTCTACAAGAAAATATCTTTCATTTGGTACCAACGACGTGTAATTCAGTCCATAACTATGGTCAGGCTAGCTGTCATAAGTTTTGCAAAAGTGTTTTAGTACATAAGACGAGAGCTCACCCCGTAGTCGGAAACTCAACCAAAAGTATGTATTGTGTATACTTCTCTATTTTCAACCCACACTGTAAATAAAACATGAGATTGGAATTTCTTAAATTTGTTTTGATTTTCTGTTTATATTTTGTTGTTATTTCGTCACCATCATGGCAACCCATAAGGTCCATTTCATTCTTTTTATTTACATTGTTTTGGTACTTATTTTTGAGCCTATTTAAATTTGTAAAGGGATTCTGTATATCTACAGGAAAATACTTTTCATTCGGTACCAACCGCGTGTAATTCGGTCCAGTAGTATGGCCAGGCTAGCTGTCATAAATCTTTCAACAGTGTTTTAGTATATAAGATTAAGTTTAGCTTTACAGTGTAGAGTACTATTTAAATCTTCTACTTCCCTATAGCACATAGTAAAAATTCTATTTATAATGTTGTTCATCCCACTGCACATAATTGACAGGCTTTAAATGAGTTGTTATAAACATCTACGTTATCACATTTTTGTAATTAGGCAATAAAGTTTTATTTGGTGTTGTCTTAACAATATGAAACTGATAAATGATATCGAGTAATGATTTTTAACAAACCCAAATTTATTTCTCTTTCAGTATTGTTTCCTCCACGTCGTAACAGCATATTATACGGTGCGTACCAAACCTCCTCTTCATTGATCAAATCAGAGAATCATGTGAAAGGTTTGACACGTCATACAATAAAAATTCAGTCGGACAGATATACGGAATTTATGCATGTAGAATGCTTGGAAGACAACAACAAAGCTCAGGCGACAATATACAGCCCAGCTGGATTCTTGGCAGAAACATTAGAGCTACATGGCAAAGACGATTGCCAACAAGTCCCTGATTATATTCATCCGTATCATTTAAAAATTCATATTGGAATCGAATATGATGAGATGACATTTACCATAATGTTCCTGTTTGGAGGGGAAACGCCTTACTGTGTTAAAAGACACTACAAGGTTTACACATTCCTTTACGCCGCCATATTGGAAAGAGACAAACCAGAAACGACTGGATGTATAGACCAGCTACTGGATGTAAGTGTGAAAATACATAGTTTGACATAATAAAGATAAATGGATACATGTTGGCCGAATTAAGTTAGGGGTGTTTTACGGTTACAAATGTTTGTTAAGAGTTAACCATTAAATAATTTTTTATATTTCAATAAATTATTTTTCCTGGTTATACCGTATTTGTTTTTAGTATACAATTTAAGATGTGTTTGTGTTAACACAATTTTAGAAAGTAAACCATTTACGTATTTGTTGACATCTTTATAAGATCCGATACTTTTATGTAGATAGCATCGAATATGTAAAAATAGAATCAACTAGAACATTCTTCAAACAATACCTGTCTTTGGGCCATAGTTTTACTACTGTATAATACCTCTTACTAAACATGTTTAATTAAGTTTAAACTTATATTTTTAGGATGATGAAAAAGGAGAGCCAACTCGTGGTGTTTGTAAGTATATACAATGTGGAGTACAATACACCTAGTCATACAAGTATTGTTTATTACACTGTTAAGATATTGTTTTATTGTTCTCTATACTTATTATTATTATTTTCTGATAAATGTACTGTGTTTTATAGCAAATTTATTACTACCAGCGGGAAAGTATGAGATCATGGATTTCAACAGAGATATCTCAAAAGAGGAACCTCGGCTTTATACTATTGACAACGCTTTCGATCATCCAAACGACGACCATTTCAAGCTCGAGTGCCGAAAACACACTGTACAAGTAGACGGTGGATATGTATCCATGGGAATAGCACTTATAATTCATGACAATATAGTCTTAGAAAAGTTAAATATAGACTCTTGTACGTCTGGATCGACGGGTATGTACATAAACAAGGAGGAAAAGCTCAATAGCTATTCGAAACTAACCGCATTTAACCTTGTGTTCAAAACCACTGAAAAAAAATGTTACACAATATCCATTGACTACGAAAATGTTGAATCTGGTACAGTTAAAATTCGCCGAAACAATCCCAGTAAAGTTAGTTGCCCAAAGCAATTTACCGATCATACTGCCTTGGATGTCAAGTTGCCATGGTACCACTCGACGCTCAAAGGACTGATATCGAAACTGTTTTGCAAAAATAAACTATCGTAACTAATTGTTCAGTTATCTACTTATTGACCCTTTTAGCAAATTATCCAAATAGCCTGGTCAATGAAAACAATAAAACACACTTTTTTGCAACTAAATGGTGGAAAGCTAGATTTTTTGATAGAACCACATGAGAGGTGTATTTTTCCAAAAGTCTCCACTTATACCCCTTTAGCTTTCCCGCCCGCCTCCTCCAAACCTAGAAATTGCAGTGTTTGATCATAAGTTGAATACTATGTATACTATAGTGTAGGAATTTACTTTTGTACTAAAGTAAAGGCATTCGTCTAAAAATTATTTCCAAATAGATATAACATTTTAACTCTGATAATGTTTATGTTTTAGAGCACACAAATATGTTTTACCCTATATATGTTTTTTACAAATATAATACGCAAAATGTATCAAACAAAATTTTTAGTATGTGTCTGAAGGTTTATAAATATATATTTGGTTAGTTGTATTAGTAAACTGTTGTAGTGTGGGGCGTCGGCCAATACGCACGCGCTCTCTTTGCCGACGCCCCACTCTTTACCAGTTCACCTAGATGACTAACCAATAATATACTTGTAAACCTAAAAAAATGTGCTAAACCATTGGTTTGTAACGTTTCGCGTATTATTTCTCTGGGCTAGTATGAGAAATAAGATATTACCGTAGATTTCATGGTAAGACCTAGACCACTAACGGTAATTTTGATGTCCATTCAAGCTAACACACCAAACCGGATACATTCATCTATGATTTTAGCGAATTTCCCTATTATATAGGGCGTTCAAAAAGAGTAGGGGACTTAATTTACGTAGTGATTCTTTGGGTCAAAATAAAGAGAAAATGAAGAATAACATTTTTTCAAAATAGCTTCGTTAACCAGATATTCCCCATTTTGTATTTTTTACACTAACATTTTTATGTTTCAATTTTTTCAGCAGATCTTTATGAAACTTGGTATGTATGTATAGCTAGATGAGACCCATGTCAGAAACAAAATTAATCTTGAATCAACTCAAAATTTCAAAATGGCGGCCGTTTTAGTTTTTCTAACTTAAATTACTACAAAATTGCTGATTTTATGAAAGAATGCCTAGAACACGTTTATTTAGTATTTATAATTCCCTATCAAACGGTACCAAGCTCAAAAAGATCGATTAAGAAATAGCTGAAATATTATGATTTTTCGTTGTAAAATGGGGCAAACCTGACTATCTTAGCCTTTTTCTACCCCATTTTACAACTAAAAATCGTAATATTTCAGCAATTTCTTATTCGATCTTTTTGAAATTAGCAAGTTTAATAAAAAATGAATTTCAGGGTAGGCCTACTCTGGTTTTGATTATTTCACGTATTTATTGAAAAGGTAGCTCTATAAAGTGAATGAACAGAGTGTGTTTTTGGCCTCTAGGGACCTCAAAAGGAAAAAGTAATTCGGTCCCGGGTCTTACAATGGAACCTACGGTAATAGCTTATTCCCTATATGGGAAATTCGCTAAAAACTTAGATTTTTAAACTTATTGTAAATGAGTTTGTAAACGTTAAGACAGTAATTTATTTTATAAATGTCACACTTATGTACATTTTAACCAATTTAATAAACTACTTTGTCCGTTTAGGCTAAATAAAGACCTATTCACCCCCACTTGAATTCGAACACCGATTACTGCATTGTGTTGGTAAATTAAAACAAGAACCTTACGTAGTCAACTTTATTTTGTTACTATTTTGCCTTTTGAATCGTAAAAAAATGTTAAAACTATAAAATCACGTCTCAAATGTTAAATTCTCGTTGCATTCATAATATAACCACCCAAAAACAATTTTACTCCGGAACAACCTGTATAATTTAAAACTAAATAAATCACAATATAGTAACTCTGTTAGACCAGAGAGGATTCAAATTGTATTTTAACTCTAACACAAATATAAAAGTTCATTTAAAGCTTGCAACTCGCTCAGTCCTTGGAGGGTTGTGACAATGTTTGTATGGGCTTACCCGTTATTCGTTCTCCAAATTGTTGTTGTTGAACCTTGATTAAAACATTTGTTTACAAACGAGTTAATTACGGTTTGACAGAGCAAGGTTTATCCTGTTATTTAAAATTGATTTAATTTTTTTGTGAAAAATAAAGTAGAAATGCTATGGCTATTATCAATCGGTTTACTTCATAGCACGAATACTTGAACAGAACGTGCTACCTAGTGTGTATAAGAATCAACCATTTTTGAACTAGGAAAAAAAGAAGTAAATGTAGAAATATTGTTACTGAAATAATGTTATTCTTTAACTATGTAGGTTACTTTTTGGAAAATTGATTAAAGAGATTGACAGAAAATAGAATAGGGGTGACAAAAACATAAGTGTGATAAGTAGAAGTTAGCTATGAACAATTAGGTAACTATGGAATCATCAAATAATAACAAAAAAAATATCTATCTATATATACCTGTATATATCTATATATATAATATCTATTAATATACAAATTAAAACAAACCATTGTCTAGATGGTTTTAAACAGTCTTTTGGTGCACTCACCACAGTTTATTAATCTAAAATATTAACTTGACTGGGCTATGACTGTGATTAGAATTTCCTGCGTTTATTTCATTATTTAATTTTTTTAACTGGAATACATCACCAGTAAATCTACCATAGACGTTGAATATATAAATAATTTGTTCTAATTTGCTTGACTCAGTTCCTTCTCTCTAACAGTGTTATGGCAGAATAGAGTATCTTTAACGTAAGCGGCTTTTCATCTGATGGACTCAAAATGTCTTGAAAAGGTCAGCAGCGTTTAATCCTCTTCGAATGACTAAAATTAAGTTAAGAAAAACTGAAACAGTAAAAATATTGAGTGGTTCTGTTTTAAAGAGAATTCCAATTTAAAGAAAATCAGGAGGGCCGGGATTTGCTATGTGAAAATCATTAGTATAATCTAGATCTGTCCCCAATGGTATTTATAAAATATTTCGTATTCAGTCTTTTTTTTAACTCTTTTCATCATGTTGATATTATTGTACATTGTATAACTATAGCATGGTAAAGCCAGAAGGACAATATTCAAATATTTGGTTTTAACTGAAGTACTGTACGAGTTTCTCGAACCCTAGTACCATAGACAAATAGAATATACACCGACAGCAGTGCATGAAGTTAAGGCGCACGCGCTACGTAACTACGTGGCACTCCTAGCGGTAGATGCCAGAACTTATGCTAAAAGCAGGACTGCTTTCGGTCTATAATTCTAGTTGTCTATGCGAGTACCGGTACCCTAGTAGAAATATAATTTTTAGTCTTAAAGTACGTGCAAACCTACATATTAAGGAGGTCACTAACCTTAGTGTTATCACTAGTGGCTGTTGTCAAACTAGTGAAAGGAAACTAGTGAAAGCTGACTGTTTCACCCTGACTTATCAACCCAATACGACACTGGGCTGTGGTGTTTGGCATTTATTTAAGTGCTCGTCAATGTTATTTTTGTGATAATAAGATTTAAATTATCATTGTTATTGCCACCTTTGTGCGTGTTTCATCCCAAATATGAGTGAAGAATGAGTGTGGAATGAGTGTGATGCCTTGTGTAGCTTTGTTTTTAGTGCCTTAAGGCATATTTATTAAAAGCCCAATGATCAAGCATCAAGGACAGCTGGGTCCAGTTTGGAACCATAAAAAAATCTACACACTTTTCCAGGAGTTTTAGAACAGAAGCGCTATGGGTCATAAATATAAAGAAATGATGTCACTAGCCCAAAAATAAACATCATTTTACATGATTTAAATGGAACTGTCCAAACCATGTTTTAATAATACTTGTATAGGATTTGGACAGTTAAGTAATATTTTATGTTTACGATACACACAGTTTCTGTTCTAGTATTCGTTCACTTTTCTCAGGATCGAACCAACGACCTTTCAAGCATTTAAAATATATTGTAACAAAAGAATAGAAACCGAATAAGTAGATGTTTTTAGAATGGAAAAAGACAAAAGTTTTACTACATACATTAATCGATAAATATATAAAACATAAAAAAAACTATTTTTAAAACGTAAGTAATACATGTTCTTTGATAAGCATTTTATTCATAATGTTGTTGCCGAAAGCATTGAATTCTCAAGAAAGTCAACTTGATGACTCCGATCGAATAAATCGCTGTCAAAGGCAAAAGTTGGAGTTCAATCATCGGAAGAGTTGTGACAGCTGCTGGGAGAATGAGTTACGTATGTTTGGAGTTTTTGGGAGTTTGGAACGATCAGATACCGTATCGTCAAATCTATCTCACTTGAGACAGTTTATCAAACTTGTTCGGTTGATTTTGTTTGAAAACAATTGGCGATATCAATTTTTAAAACTTATCAAGTTCTTGTTTTATGTACTTAGGGATAACCAAGGGGGGGGGGGATTAGGGTTTGTGAACGCCCCCTCCCACAAAATTAAAGGCCTACTATAGAGCGTCGTCCTGTAATCCAGCTACTAGGAGATCACGAACTGTGGATATTTATAGGCATGCACTGTGGATGCGATGTTCTCTGGTGTGGATTAATGTCCACACTAGTGAGTACTACGACTATCCACAGTACTATCCTGATAATTAGACCAATTCGTTAATTACAAGAGGAAAATGTGGTTCGGATTCCACTATAAACTGTAGGTCCCTTGATTGGCATTGGCTGTGTGGGCTATCATTAACAGCGAAGATGTCGGTTTTAACTCACTAACAAGACTACAACAACAAGACTGCGTCACTCATCCCTCACTAAAATACGAACATAGCGGCGTCCCCATCTTAAATAATTGATATAATTGATTGATACTGTGCACACATCTGAAATCTCATCAGTGATTGTACAGCTTGTAAAATAAGCTGTCTCTTAATTACACATTTATCAGGTTACTAGCTGTTGTACCCGTGCTTTGCAACGGAAGAGGACACAAAATAGAAACATTTTAATCTTTACATCTGTTGCATATAATAGTTACACATCCGCCAACGCTTTTAGAAACGAAATTCAACTTTTATGGCCTTAATAGAAACGTTTAAGTTATGAC